TATACATAACTGCACTGGTAGAAAGACCAGGAGTTCACCACCGTTATATGTAATTTCTTATACATGGTAGAAAGACCAGGAGTTCGCCGTTAACTCAAATATATTCAGAGCTTTAGTGTCGTCGGTTCTGAACGGTAGACAGAATCAAGTTTGTAGCGATTTAATAACAATACGTCACGTTAGTGGATGTCATCCCTGGAGAGAACTTGACTGATATTAATGGACGGAGGTGAACGGAGGTGAAGGCATTATAGTAAAACAGTACAACATACAAGTTCATATAAGACTTAAAGTGCAAATGCAATTTGTCTCAAATTAAATATAAAAACAAATATAAAACGTGTTCTTGTAGGGATGTCCGATATGATACGATATGATGTTGTCTGTAACGAGGGCAGATGTGTATATGTCGTATAGGGAACATATACGGTGGCGGACCGACAGGAAGTGAGTGTTAATATACGGCAGGTGTGGAGCTGTTGTTAAAGTTAACTGCACACTGTCTCCCGTGTCTCGTCTGGAACTTTCTATATTCTACGAACAGAACATGTTAAATGCTGTCAGTGCTGAATCCCGTCTCAGACGATCGCATGGAAGGATTTGCCCGACAAGTTGTGGTAAAGTCAAGAAACGTAAATCGTGGTAGATTCCAAGCTATGCTAACGCTAGCCAGCAGTTAGAAACTGAGTGCAGCGAGCTAGTTCGTCAGACCTCGAGGGAGTGTGTTGGTGGGACGTTAAACGACATCGCAGAGAGGCGATGCTCCAAAGCTCAGCGCTAAAGAGGAAAATGGATTCACTTTGCTACATAAGTTTACCAGAAAACTTTTCGTACTTTTCCAATTGGCCCAACTGGATTCGACGGTTTGAAAGATTCCGTGTGGCAGCAGAACTGGGCAAGAAAGACGAAGTTTATCAGGTGAACTCATTAGTTTATGAAGATGAAAAGAAAGTGACACAAATGTGGACTATTCTGACAGCAGTAAAATAAAAACACCCAAACCTCCACTGTGGTCGTTCCATAAAGTAAATAAAATGAACTGTTGCCAAAACTGTTAAACCAATAAACTTAATCAAAGGGATGTCTGATATGGTAACGGTGTGTACCGGTGAGAAGCCCACACAGGTGATGACACTTCCACACTGACTGCTGTAGAGCAAACAGATGTACCAAGTACAGAAAGGCAGACTCCCAGGTTTCTGCCAGTGTTTTCTCACACACGTTAATTTTACCGCACAAAATTGTGTGATGAGCTACAGAGACACTTTGAAACCCAGTTCATATAAAACTTGAAAAGAAAATTACAATCTCCAAGTGAAACAATAATTGGAAAACAACTTGTTAAAAATACCAGTAACACGACCGTAGTAACACGACTGTAGTAACACGACCGTAGTAACGTGACCGTGTGACACACAAACCTGATCATGTCACAGTAAGCACATGCCTTCGACTCAAAGACGTACCAAATGTTTTAGAGTGAAGTAGAGGAGACATGTGTTTGTCATTTCAAGGCATGTTGTAGCCATAAAATGGAGTCTTCAATAGAGCGAGGGTTTCAGAGCTGTGAAGACGCCTCAGACGGCCAGTCCAAGTGTCACTCACGGATCTCATTTAAAGACGTCGACGGCCTGACTCAGAGGACGGATGTGTCGCTCACATGAGTAATTGAAAGGGTAATTAAGACAAGAGTCAGATTAATCAGTGCCAACACGAAGTAAGTCCCACACAAGCATTCATCTTGACTGGTGAATATCTGTTGACACGGTGTTTCAGCAGCTCCACTGTTTAGCGCTCACTAAACTTTGATCAATGCAAGACACTGAGAGAAATGTCTCCTCTAATGTCAGTACATCCAACACACTAATGTCAGTACATCCAACACACTAATGTCAGTACATCTAATGTCAGTACATCCAACAAGACACTGAGAGAAATGTCTCCTCTAATGTCAGTACATCCAACACACTAATGTCAGTACATCCAACACACTAATGTCAGTACATCCAACACAGTAGACAAGGTCTCAGCTCAGACTTCTCTGACCTCTCTGAGGGAACGCTCATGAGACTCTGAAGAACCGTCAGGTGAATTGACCCAGAAAACATCAAAAACAGAACCACTGAATAGTAATGTTTGGTTGGTATTATTACCACATCACATTGATCCCAGGCCAGACCCATGGGCACATTAAAAGACATCAGTGAAATTAGGTTGTAGTGCACTTGGAAACGGGGGAGGAGGGTGTAGTTTGGATCAGACCAGATGCCAAGACAACACACAAGAAGCAAAGTGAGCTGCCTTTAGCAACCAGACAGTCGGTGGATTTATAGCCTAGCTTTGGGCCCGGACCATGTGTGCACCTAAATCATCACTGTCCAATTCCACCTCACCTGCCTGGAGATTTCCTGACCACTAAAGAGAAAAATGGAAACCAGGGCGAGCCGCTCCACCAGCCCTGGGGAGCAGGAAGTTGATGAGAAGATGTCTTGAATTTTCTCACTTGATCCTTCCTAAAAGGTGTGACCTGCTGACACTGAATCAGCAGTGAATAATCTTGGATTAGTTGCCCCTTTCCAACAGTTGCCCCTGTTTGTTTTTTCTACCTCTTACACTTCATGAGAATTCAAGTGTGCAGCATTCTTCCCTCGAGGCTTCGTGTCTC